GAGAGAAAGGAATGGTAGTTGAGTGAACAAGAATTAACATTAATATTTGTATATAAAAGTGTTCATTCGATCAGTTTAATTAATTTTAAATCGAATTATTTAAAATTAAATTAATTAAATTATTTTATTTTATTTTTAATAATTGAATTAAATTTATAAAATTTAAAAATTAATTGATTGAATTAAATTCGATCGATTCGATTAAATTTTTTTAGATTAATCGATTAATACATGCATTTAAATTAAATTATATTTTAAATTTTAAATTTTTTATATTTTAAATAAATTTAATAAATTATTTAATAAAATATTCAAATACTAAATATTATGTTAAAAATTTTAATAAATTATGAAATTAAGTGATTTATTTTATATTTTTTTTATTTTATATTTAAATTATATTATATTTTAATTAAAATTTTAATTAATTCATTTAATTTGATTTTTAAATTAAATTAATTAAAAATTAAAATAATTTTTATTAATAAATTAAAATTAATTTAATAATTAATTAATTAATTGAATTAAATCAATCTAATCGATTAATTTGATTAAAATTAAATTATGAATGCTCTAATTGTATATCAACAGCGACAGAGCATGATAAGTCAAGACTATTAAATAAATGAAAAGCAAAGCCAGCTGGTCTCCATTGCGCGCCCCAGGGTCTCGAATTGTCCTTTGCATGCTGTAGCACTTGGTTCTGTTGGAAAAGTTTTTTTTTAGTAAATTACATCAAAGTCCTGACATTTAGCACTAATTCAAGATCACTCCATTAGTATGATAAATTTACATCATCTCCCAAGTTTTAAAATGACATACGACACATAGATCCCCACATCAAGGTTCCGTTCGAATTGGAGTTAAAATATGGAGGTGCATCATATGCAATTTATGTTATGCCAAAAATAATCCTCTGTTAGGGGATAACAAATAAAAACTAAAAGCAACATGCCTTTATTACTTTATTTCTTTTTTTGGCTTAATACTAAAAAAATGCACTAAATTTTTTATACAAAATAAATATATACCCTCAATCTTTTATTACATGCAAATAAATTTATAATCTTTTATTTTGTTGTAAATAAATCCATAAACTTTCTAAATTAGGTAATAAAATTTAATTTCATTAAATGAGATTAATTTAAATTTATCAATTCTAGTCTAAACCCAAAACTCACCTAATTCACTCGAACCTAACTGGGATGGCATCGGGTTGGGTTCGGGGTGAGTTTGCTCGCCCCGAACCCGACCTGACTTTATGCTTTAGCATACCCGAACCTGACTCGACCTGACAATATGTAAACCGTACCCGATCTTGATCCGAAATTAATAAAATATTATTTTTTTAAATATAAAATATTATTTTTAAATATAAATATTTAAAATATTATTATATAAAAATATATAATTAATTAATTAATAAAAAATAATTTTTTATATAATTTCGGGATCGGATCGGGTCGGGTTTTAGGCATACCTGAACCCGACCCGACCCCGATTAAAAAATAATAAATATAATACAAATAAAAATAACAAATATAACACAAATGATAACTAACTAAAATTATTGAAAATATCAAATTAATAAATATTATTAATATCAAACGTGTATAAATTATATAGGTTATATTACTTATAAAACTTTTTATAATTTATAATATAATTTAAAATAAATGATATATTTTTAATTATTATGAGTATACTCATAGATCAATGTATCATTTAAAATAAATTATATAATCTTTTATCATTATATATAGTGTTAACTATCATGTGATTTAGAATAAAGTATATTAAATAGGCTATCGATTTGTGCACAAACACACGTACACACATATATATAGATATGTTATGATTATGTTATAATTATATTATTTTAATCATGTAATTTAGAATAAATTATTTCTTGAGTTACAATTATACTTAAATCCAAACAAAAAAATTTAAATAATGAGTTACAAATACACTAAATTGATTATTTGCATTGTACTTATATTATTAATATAAAAAATTTACATACTGAATGTATATTATAAATAAATATTTAAAAAATTATATGATTATGTTAAATATGTAATTGTGCATTATAATTTAAAATTTAAAATACTCTTTATATATTTATATTAAATTAAAATAAATATAAAAAAACCTATTAAACATGTCAAACTTGACAAAATTATTTTTTTGTGTTTAATAAGTATACTCGTATGATAGATTTAATTAAAATATTTTTGCATTTTACACTTGTTAGAATTTGTGTTAACATAGCTAAACACGAAAATTTGTGTTAACATAATTAAACATAAAACACATTTTTCTAAAATCAATACAATTTTTCTCGTATCATTTTGGTGTTATATTATCATATTGTATTTAAAGTTTTTAAGACTAATAAAATCACATATTTTTTCCTTTATATAAAATTAACTTCGATTAAAAGCATACAAATTGCAATATTTATATTTATTTTTAAGACATTATTTTTTAGTTTTTATCTTTTAATAAAATTATAATAAAATTTGACTTGAACTTTATCAAATAAACTATTTAAAATTAATCTAATTTTATTGTAAAAATTAACAAATTAAAGCCAAAATGATCTGAACCCAAATAATTTAGGTGTTAAACTCAAACTACTTAAACTGAGATGACCATAGACCTACTCATGGGTCGGATGGCTCGTCTAAAGCTAAAAGTCTACCTGAAATTTTGAAAAGTTTGAACATTAATATTAAATCTTAAATGGGTATTGACAAATAAATAAGATTCAATCAAAAAATAGGATTGGGTTGGTTTTCACTATTTAAGACCCGAGTTTGGCCAAACCCAACAGAAAAATTAAAAAACATATTCTTATCATAATGGGACAAGACCTATTTGTTTTATTTTTTTATAATAGACAAGACACGTTTGCTTTATTACTTATAATAGGATAAATTCTATTTTTTTATACAAAATAATTTTGAATTGCATTCAACAAAATTAAATTGGACCTAAGCCCAAATAATTTATAAATTCATTTAAAATTAATTAAATTAGTCAAATTAATAATTTACAAAAAAATAAAAAAAAACCCTATTTTCTTCACTTTTAAATATCAATATTTTGGATGAGTTTAGATTTTATTATTATATGTAGAAATAGCCTTAGGCAAAAAATAAAGCTTGAACAATTAGACTAAGTCAAGCTTTGACTTGTTTAAAATGCTAGAATATCATGTTAGGCCTCATTCGAACTTGATTCGACCTAGCTCAGCCTATGAGTAGGTCTAGATGACTCAATCCATAAATAATCTGAACTCGAAATGACTTGAACAAAAAATAACCCAAAACCAAAATGACCCAACCTAAAATTGATCCATTTTTTTAAGATCCAAAATAACTTAGAACTAAATTAGTCAAACTCAAATCCAATTTAACTTGCCTAATCAATAAATCTAGACTAACTACCTTTTATATTAGATAACTAGCATACTACATGGATGATAATATGTAAAATGATATGTAAATGGACTGATTACATGTCATTTTGATTGAAAAAAGCTTAATTATGCAAATATGCCATCAATTTTCTGTACAAAATAAATATAAGCTCTCAATCTTTCTTTATATTTTAAAATCATTTTTGAAAATTTTTATGTTTGAATAAAATAAAAAAGAATATTAAAAATATGCCAAAATTTTAACAAAAATCAGAAAAAATAAAAACAAACAAAAGAAAATTGAGAAAGATATTAAAATTTTTTCATAAAGTATAAAATCTAAATTTTATATTAAAATTTTATTTTTGAAAAAAAATCAATAAAATATTTTTTCTTATTTTTTGAAATTTAAAAAATTAAAAAATCAGAAAATAAAAAAATTGAAAAAAATATTTGTTTCATAAAAGGTATAAAATACTTTTTATCAAAAACAAAATTTTCATATAAAATATAGATTTCTATTAAAAAATCTAGTTTGTGTTAAATTTTATTTTTGAAAAAAAAATCAACAAATATTTTCTACCTTAAAATTTTTATTGTGAAATAAAAAAAAATCGAAATAAAAAATAACAAATAATAAAATTTTAGCTTAAAATTTAGTTTTTTAAATTTATGAAAAAAATTTAATCTCTTTCATGATTTTCTTTTCTTCATTTTAAAATTTTTTACTTTTTGATTTTTTCTTCAAAAACAAAAAATTTTGAAAATTAATTTTAAAATACAATAAAAAGTCAAGAGTTTATATCCATCTGATATAAAATGTTGAGAGTATATTTGCATAATTAAACTTTTTTCAATTAAAATGACACATCATTAATCCACCTAGATATCATTTTACACGTTATCATTCACGTATAATGCTAGTTGTGTACAAATGACTATAAGTCTCATTTAACAAATTTAGACTTAATTACATAATTTTAAAAGTTTATGAGTTTATTTTCAACAAAATAAAAAATTGCAAACATATTTACATAACATAAAAGGTTAGGAGTTTACATCTATTTTGTATAATTTGTACAAAAATTTGAGCGTATATTTAAATATTAAGTCTTTTAAAAAATGACTTGACTTGGTCCGTCTCCCTCTCAAACATCTTAGCTCTTCCGTCATCCTTTGTTAAACCATCTTATGTATGACAATTGCAATCAATTTTTGTTTGTTGTAGTGACGTCTTTTTGAATAAATGATAAAATTAAAAAATAAAAATAAAAATAAGATTAATTATTATAATGATATGATTAAAATTAATAATAAAAAATATATTTAAATATAATAATAATAATAATGATGAGTTGAATTGTAACAAAATAATAATTAAAAATATTAAATTAAAAATAATATATGATAAAAATTTAAAATTATTTAAAATTTATAAAATAAATAAATAATTACAAATAATTAAATTATTTTAACGTCAACAAACTTTTAAATAAAAAAATAAATTATAAAGATATTTTAATATTTATAATATAATTTTAAGAGAAAAAAAAAAAAAGGAAAATTGGACCAATCACCTCACTCGTCTTCAATCTCCTTTCGGGCTATCTCTATTTTCCATCCTTCGCATTTTAAATTCCTAACAGCTTTTCAAATAGCCTTTGAACTTAAAAATTCATAAATAAAAATAAAATTGAAGTGGTTTTGTTTGGCAAGACTTTGTAGCAGTCTACCAGGTTGAGCATAAGGGATGAAGACTGTAGCATCACCTTCAACACTCTCCCTAATTTCACGCGTAAATGTCTATAAAATCTCTCTATATTCTCCCATATTTCGATTTTGCCACTTTCCTTTCTCTCTCACTCATCCTCCCAGACCGCTCTCCACAATTGCCTCTGCATTTCAGTCTTCCTCTCAGGTATTTACACACTCAACTTTCTGCTTGTTTATATGTATAATATATATATATATATATAAAGAAAAACTGGGTTTTCTTTTTTATATTTATTTTTATTTGAAAATAGTAAATTGATTGGAAAAGAACCTTTTTTTTTGTCATGGAATTAAGGATTTTATTTTTATTTTTATTTTTCCAGGCTGTGTCTTCTGGGGATGTTAACAAGGAAACCAATTTGTTTCAGATAATTCAAGCTCACCAGGTTTGTTGAATTTTGTGTATGTAATGTTTAAATGTTGTTGCTGTATATGTTTCCTTTTTTTTTTTTTTTGTTTTTATGTATTGTAGTTAAATGGGTTTGAAAGTTATTGAAATGAGACTGTTCTATGTCCAGGAGAAGGCTGCTAGGCTTTCTCCGCTGGAGGAAATTCGTACCGTGCTTGATCAAAGCACACGTGGCATGCTTTCAACTTTTTCACAGGTATGTGATCATATTACTAGTTGATCATTTATGATTTCGGGTTAATTGAGCATTAAGAGTGATAGCAAGATACCTTTGATGCATGTTTAGTCTTTAAAACAGATTGTTTTAATTACAACTTCGTGAGTCTTAAAAGTGAAAGGTACTTTCCAATTACTTGTGACCTTGTAAGATTTTTATCAGTAACTCTACCCTTGCTGTGGAGATGATTAGGAATGGAGAATTTTGAAGGATTATTGTTTTGCGGATATAATCTTATCAGCTAGCAGAGAATTCTAAAATTGAGAATGGAATCTATTAGCCATTGCACATCTTCACAACGAATAAAAACTTGATCAACTAGCTGCAGAAGACTCCTATATTCTGAGCTTGTACGAGCTGTAGTTGAATCTTGCAAAATTTCCTCTTTTTTTTCATCCTTCCTAGTTGCAGTTATGGTGTCTTAGACCATGCTGTTGAAAAGTTGAATGAATGCTGATGCAACTAATATTTTCTATATATAAACTATATGGTGGAAACAAGATCTTTCACAATGTAGGGTCCTTTGGCACTAATTGTGAAAGCCTTTGGATGGAACTAAAATGATGAGTTATATGTGCTTGAACAACTTATATTAGGATTGTTTGTTAGTTCATATGCAACTAAGAACTAGGATCAACCTTTTGCTTGTTTGCCAGGTCTTTTGGTCTTCATAATTGGTCATGACATTCATCACTTAGACATTTTTCTAGTTGTTGGCTCACGCATTAGGAATTTTTCTTCTTGTTGTCCTACTCATTTTGGCTTCTTTTTTGTATGCAGAAGCTTGAGGGCTATCCATCAGGGTCGATGGTTGACTTTGCATGTGATGCCAATGGATATCCGATATTAGCGGTCAGCAGCCTGGCGACTCATACAAAGGTTCTCACTTAGATTTTGAATTTTATGTGAATGAGTGCTTTGAATTGGAATCTATTCATCCATTGCCCCGGCTCAGAGGAATTAAGAGAAGGGGATTGAAACATCAAGAGGATATTGCATAGATGTTCAGATTTTTTGTATTCATGGAGATGGAGACCTGTAAATTCCAATCATGTTAAATATTAGGATTTTAAATTGATAGTTTCATTTTGCCAAAATTTGACAAAGCCATTGATGACAGCCAGGAAAGCTCTAATTTATGCCCATGTTCGTGTGATTAGGATTAGTTGCCTATTTTCTAGTCGCCAACCTGCCTTCATTCTACCATTTCGAAGTTTCTTCCTTGTTAATCCTATTGTCCTTTTTGACCTAATGGAGAAGTTTTGTCCTTTTACCTAATAATTATTAAAAAATTGCTGCTTTTCACAGGACCTATTGGCTAATCCCAAATGTTCATTGCTTGTCGCAAGAGATCCTGATGACAGGACTGATTTAGTAATCACCCTGCATGGTGATGCTATTTCTGTAAGTTATTTGTTATTTCCATTCTCCTGTTATTCATCTCTTAGGGGATGCTGCTTTTAAACTCATTTGTGAGCTCTACATCTTACTATTTAACATCCTAATTCTTTGGTGTTCTGAAGTATTTGAAATGATGTATTGATCAATTATATAGGTATCCGAAAAAGATCACGCAGCCGTTCGAACTGCTTATTTGGCTAAACACCCTAATGCATTCTGGGTATTTGTCTTTCCTCCCCCTGCATGTTATGTCCCTTTAGATAAATGTCGTCACTAATCTGTTTAGATAGAGAACTCAGCATATACTTCCATTGTGAAGGTTGACTTTGGTGACTTCCAATTTATGCTCATTGAATCAAAGGCTGTGAGATATGTATCAGGTGTTGCGACAGCTTTGCTAGGGTCAGGAGGTTTGTGCTCTGATTACTTTTCTGTATCATATCCTATATTTCTTCCACCCTATAATATTTTTGAAGAATATTAATGTTGCCCACTTCATTTAAGACATGGCACCAGTGGTGCTTTTGCTGGTGCCTTTCACCCATTTCGTTTATTGTTTTCAGCAGCTCTTATGGATTTGTTTGTGGTGCTATTTCTCACCATCTCCTCCTTTTTTTTTTATTTTGTCTTGTGTCATTTTGTTTTTTTTTTTATTATATTTAGAGTTCACCAAAGAGGAGTACCAGGATTCAAAAGTTGATCCAATAGCCCAATTCTCTAAGCCTGTTGCGGTATTATGGCTGTTCATTTTCCTGTACAGCATTTCATTAGTTCATTAGAACTTCCTTTTGTTGTACTTCTTGTTGATGCACCTTTCTTTTCAGTCTCACATGAATAAGGATCATGCTGAAGACACAAAAGTCATTGTGCAATACTCAACATCAATCCCGGTAATTGGAAATATTACATTTTAACACTATATTTTATAGGAAATGTAAAATTTTATCCATATTGTATTCAAGAGACGATTCAGCTAGCCGTTACTGGTTGAGGTGGAAAATTGTAGAACGTGCCTCAATAGCTAGTTCTAGGCCCAGAACTAAAATCAGAATAAGAGAAATTAATTGAATACTTTTCATTAGGTACTATTAATAGTTTGACAAAGTTGGCTAAAATTGTTGAATTTATCAGTCTCAGTTCAAGCTGCCATGTGTAGTGGAATCTGCCCGAATTTTTCTTCAATCCAAAGTGCATTAGTTTTCTAATAATCTTAAAAATCCTGAAAACTGAATCTTTATTCTAGAAGATCCAATGTTATAACTCAGTTTTCATCTAAGTTTATATTTTCAGACAATATTGCCCCATCGTTCTTTTGGAGACCAATGACTGTTTCCCACACATCACAAAACTACCAATCTTTTCAATGATAAAATTAGAAAGCTTCTTGCCAGCTGTTGTCTTCTCAAAACATGACTTGCAGATCCATTTCTTCTCAAGCTTCTATCACTAGTATTCAATGTGATGATTTCCTCTTTCTGAATTTTTCACATTGAAGACCTTTTATTGATAGCAAGTTTAACATATCCTGTTATTGATGTTTTTTTTCCTTTTCCTAGCTAATTTGTGTCTTTCTCCAGGTGAACTATGCTTACATGCTGGATTTGGATAGTCTTGGATTCAATGTCAAGGTTCTGATAACTTTTAACCTTTTATATCGAATTTATGTTATTGGCTAATGGAAAGTAATTTTGCCTTTACTTGGAAGTTAACTAATATAAAAATTCCCTTCACCATTGCCTTGTGATCAATTCTTACTGTATTCAAATTCTTGCGATGTGAATTTTTCCCCTTTTCCCTGCAGGCTGGTTATCAAGGACATACTTTCAAGCTTCGAATTCCATTTCCTAGACGTGCAGAAGATAGAAAGTAAGATATCTTATATCCAAGATTTTCTAGTCTTTGAAGAAGCTTTTCTTGATATTTTACTTGTCATTTGTTGTTAATTATTGGTTTTACTTTTTATATAAAGCATCTGCTCTAAGATTCTCATCTTAATTTTTTTCTAAATGAAAATGAAATTTATATCATCCTGGTAAAAGCCACTGAAACAAATGGGGAGGACTAGGCATATTGTCCTCTTTGGTTCAGTAATATAAGTAGGAATTATGCTTCGTCTTTCATCTGGGTTCTTCTCTGATTGGTTTAGACTTCATGCAGAAAAACAATAGCTTGGGGGTAACATTTTGCGATGTTTGACTGTGTTATATGCGTTTTATTCTTGTTCAATCTGGTTTTTTATGTATGTCTTAGGGATGTGAAAACCCTCATAGTTGATATGCTCCAAGCTGCCCAGTCTTAAGTCAACTGACCACACTGCTAAAAGAGCTCTAAGAGGTGAGAAAGTTTCCAATTTCTTAAATCTCTGTTTCAACTACGTTTTTGCCTTCACTAAACAATAAATGAAAACTTTTGTTTGTATAAAATGAACTGCATGTCTTATGATTGCCATTGCTCAGCTTCAGCATTATAAAGGAAACTTAGTCTGAATAGAAAACTATTAAAATGGTCTTATAAATTATGTGAACAGCAATTGTATACCAGCCGTCTTACCGGAAATTGCAGAGCCTTATCTTGCTTATTGACTTCGTTTTGCAGGATCTTGTGTTACATTTGCATCTAACTTCTCCAGAATATGAACCAACATATAATTCCAAAAGACATGACAATAAAGATACAATTACCTCAGATACAATTCCAGATAAACTTTCATTTCAAGTCGTTTCCATTAGAGTTGAAATTATGAGATGTGAAACTGGTTGGTGATTCCTGTATATACTTTCCCATGATATAATAGTTTCTTCTTTCCCTTACTGCTCTTATAATGTAGAATTAGATAAAAATTGAATTATTGGATCCGAAACATAACTTGAAAACAAGAGATATAAAGGTTTGGCTGTGAGCAATCAAGTTGGAATAATTAAACAGCCATCAGCCAGGGCATTTGGGAGCTAACAAAATATGAAATGTTTGATTTAACATGGATCATCTGTAACGCTGATGCAGCCTAGTTTTACTTTTCCTTCAACAATTGTTTGAACCTCCTGATTGTTTTCAAAGTACTCAGACACTTCATTTGCTTTTGAAATGGATTCTGCTGCTTACTATTCTTGAAAGATTGCAGAATTTCCATCCAAATGCTCCTCCAGCGTACAAAATCCAAAGCAAATTTTACATTTTTGGTTTCTCTAGGGAGAAAAAAGTGTACTTGAGATTTTGTAAGGAGAATCCAACCAGAACAGTCACTGACAAATGTTACCATCTAAATAAACAGACAGAACCTTTGTCATATGGGTTTTGCCAGCATAATGATCAGGCCAATCTAGCCATTCAAATTGGACAATTTTTTTACCATATGTACTGCTTCATTTGACCACATATTAAGGCCAAAGTCTTAAAGGATCTCAATGTTGTATTTTTACCATCGTTGTTACCTAAATTACACAATTTGATCATGAAAAACATAAAAAAGAAAGAAAGAGAGCTACATGCATTTGTCTGCAGTTAAAATTTTTGGAGTATGGGAATGAGTGAGAAGAAAAATTATTATTCTCATTTATAAAAATGAAATTTTAACTTCTATACAACAAACCAGGCAGAGACACTTTTAACTTTTCTATGTTTTTCTCTAATTGAAAACTCTAAGAACCCCATTAACATTAACAGCAAAAATATTCCCAAAAATTCAGAAGAGAAAATGCCTCTGCTGCTGCAATAGATGTATAGCATACAATCTCAATCTGAATCACTTTCCATACTCCCCATGGCCTTCAATCCCCTTGGTCTCTGCATAATTCCAAACCACATAAGAACAAATAAGAAAAGAAAATAACTACATCTGCAGAACATATTGAAAACAGCAAATAAAATCTAAAAAAAATAAAAATAAAAGAATTATTATACCTTCTTCGAACTCTTCTTTTCCCTAACTTCATACCTCTCTTGGCACATATCAGTCAACCATGCCCCAGGGCTCACCAGCTGCCAACCGCCAGAAGATGTCAAAATTAGACCAAGAAAGGAAACCCAAAATTTTAAGAAACCCACAACATAAATAATCGAATCTCAAAGTTGCATTAATCCAAATAGAAAATTCGGGGAAGGAGTTGTAATTGCTGGAATAATTTGATACCACCCTTACAGGTAGGTGGCTCTGAACTAAACTCAGGATTCACCAATTCAATTATTTGATATCACATTTCTTAACCCATCAAAAAACAAAAACTAAATATGCTTCAATTGTTGAAAGCTTTGCATAAATCCAGCATCGTTGCTTACGAGTAAGCTCCTTTGGATAATCTTGGCTCTCTTTTTAGGCCTTTGAGGGGGTTTACACCCTTTCATTGCCATAAAATCCTCCTCTTTTTCTTTGCTTGACAAAGTGATATACAGCTTTGGCCACACTAGCCCTTTGTTATCGTCTCCGTTATTGCTGTCGAGTGCAACCTTCCCATTCTCATCCACCAATCCCACTGCTGATCCCCTTGTTGTGTAGTACCTATCCTCCTTCTCCGGTGACAAGGCCTTCCGGTGCTCCGTCGTACCTGACCGGAGTACAGCTGCCTCAGAATTCCTAGAATCCAATATATAAAATAAAAGAGTAAATTTCACATTTGTACCACTTTGCTTGTTCATTATAAAAATTTTACTTGGGAAATTTCTCAACAACGTGTTTGGCTGCTAAGTGACCAAGAAAGAGTAGTCATAAAACGGACAAATTCAAACTTCCCTTCTCTCTATTCTCAGCAACCAAACAGGGGATAACAAGGTGCCCAACCTCATTTTCTCGGAAATTTCTTAAACACTGCTAGGTGGCTGACATAGAAATAAATAGATTTTCTTTCCTTTCTTTACCCAAAAAAATTCCATAGCCATCCACAGCTAATTTGGCTAGAAAATTTAAAACAAAATTCAATTTTTCTCTCCCCAAGCCGACAGCTTCTCACAAACCAACAAAAGGGCAACAAGAAAAATTCCAAAAAAAAAAAAAACAATTGTAAAAACCAATGAAAATCTCATCTTTTTCCAAACGAACAAAAGGTGCCAAGAAAATTCATGAATTTTTTTAATGCAAAAAAATAAAATCGATCTTCTTACCTAGTGGGACGATGATTGGATTGAGAAAAAGGAGAGGATTCTTTATCTAAAAGCCGAGAAGTGATTCTCCTGCGAACTATAGCATTCGATTTATGAGAGATTTTTTGAGGGCCTTTAACTCTCACACATCTTAGCCTCTTTCTATTACCCCACTGTAAAAACAGCTCTGGCTCTATTGTTTTGCATGTTCTCTGGCTCCTCTCTTCTTTCTCCATCTCTGCAGTAAAAACAAAACAAAAAACAAATCAAAAGAAGTTTCAGTTTTTTTCCCTAGAAAAATAACAAGTTGAAGAAAATGAAGACATTTGAAAGACCCAAAATCCATTTTTTGTTGAAGAGAATGAAAATATAAAATGGGGCTTTTTATACTGTGAAAATCAAAGAGATGATGAAAATAAAGTATGGGTTTTTACTGTTTTTGATAAAGTAAGAACAGAGTCATCAGAGGAGAAGAAATGTAATTTTATCAAGAGAAAAAAAAAACTTGGAACTTTGAGAGGAATTGGTGCCTGATCTTAAAGATCTAAAGAAATATACTGTAATCTTTTCTCAAAAAAAGTCCTGATATTTCAAATAAAAGAGATATCAATTACCAAGTAAGAAAAAACAAAAGCTTGGGAAGTAGAAGAATAAGAAGAAAAAAAAATGAAATCTTACAGTGAAATACTATCATCCCAGAAGAAAAAGTTGGGTTTTTTTTTGCCTAAATGATTGCTTCAATTTCTCTGTTTTGTATTGTTGATTGAATTTGAGGAGGGCTTCTCCTCTCTTCTCTTCTCTTCTTGCTCTTTCTCTGTTTCTCTTCTGTCTACTCTGTTGTATTTCTTCTCTCCAACCTTTCTTTGTGAATTCTGATTTATTCTCTCTTTTCTCCCTTCTGTTTTTTTTTTTTTTAAATATTTATTATTATTATTATTACTACCAATGCTGAAAATAATAATAAAAAATTAGATTTTATAATGACCGTCTGATTTTGAATTTTAGGATACGATGAAATATTGGGTCCATTTTAATTGATTATTACAAAAAAGACAAAACTATTGTATATAGATATATTGAGTGAGTTGATTAACCAAAACCACTTTCTTTTCGGGTTTAATTTGGGCTTTGTATTTGGGCTTTTAAGTAAGGCCATGATTGCTATTCCTTTGGGCTTTACAAGACCTAAAATGTTTCAATATGGGCTTCAGTTCAGGTCCAATTAAAAATTTAAGGACGAACAAATATAAGAAGCTTTTTATTCTCATAAAAAAAAGATCCATTAAGATTTCGCCTATATATATATGAAGGAAATTTCATCACACATCTGATTTTAATGTACTATTTTTAATTAATTCATGATTTTTAAACTCAATTTTTTTAATTTGTGATCTTCAAATTTTTTAAATTCATTTTTTAATTAATCGTTTATTAAAGTTTGACAAAAATTACCACACTCTATACCACATGAATGTCCATGTGGACGCTCACGTAATAAAATATGTGGATTTTTTATTTTTCAGCTAAATTATATGCCACACGATATATTTCATTGAAATTTTAAGGATCGCTGATGAAATAAATGAATTTAAAACTATTTTAAAACGATTATGAATTTAAAAATTAAGTTTTAAAAATTACAAATAAAAATAAAATATCATACAAAAATTATGAATGATTGATGCATTTTACTCTTGTATAGAGAAAATGAATGTATTACTTATAATTATTACATTACAATTAACCAATTAGAATTTAAAGTTTCATGTGATCTATGAAAATTGTGAAAATATATCACTTATAATTATTATAGTATAATTAATTAATTATAATTTAAAATTACGTAAATTTTATCAAAATTTTATAAAATTTACATTTATAAGTGATAGATCTCTACATAATTTTTTATTATAATTGAACAATTATAAGATTATGATAAAATTAATCATATGCACATGTGTGTCTGAAAATTTTATATGAAATTTACACTTATAAATAATAAACTTTTATGTAATTTTGAATTGTAATTGAACAATTACAAAAAAAAATTATAAATGAAAAGTACTAAAAAAATAGCTTTCTATCCTTTTATAAATTCCATTCTTGTCATTTTAAAATTTAAATTCAGAAATAGAGCTAAGACAGAATCTTTAGCTCTAACCGTTGAAATGGTGTGTGAATTTTTACTCAGTGCTACTCGAAATACATACTCTGATATAGAAGGATTACCTTAAAAAAGCAAATTCTTAAACTTAAGCCCCCAAACCTGTCTTTATTTTTTTTTCAACTAGCCATTTATTTGATGACAATCATAATTTAAACTTACTCTTTCGTTTCCCTCGTCGATTCCTTTTCCCATATTTCCCTCGATCTTTCCTTCGACCACCTCATTGACTCCGCCCTTTCCGACGTCGATCAGTCTTTTCTTATCGATCGCACTTACAAGCTTGGCTCCTCTTCCTCCATGCCGCCAATCGCTCTGCTAAAAAAGGTACTTCGCATCATAACTGCATTGCCTAGGTCCTCCCGTCTGATCTCATCATTAAGGTAAAACCTCAATTTTTTGATCGACGGTTGCAATTTTTTTATTTATTTCTTTCCTTTCAATCTTTTTGGTGGTTATACGTTTTTTTATTGCAGGTGTTTTCAATGCTAGATTCGCAAAGTCTTTACTATACCGCCAGCAACATGTCCAGTGTTTAACAAGTGTGGCATGGATCCTTTGTGGTATGCGAATATTGACCCCACCACTATCGTGCCCAAGCTTAGTGATTTCGTTGTCTCCACCATGATGCATGTTTGTGTATTTTTATAGATTGGTTTGTGTTTTTGTTTAATTACTGTTGCATGTTTGGTTTTTGTGTGGGGAAACGGACGGTTTAGAGTAAAAAAGCAGAGTAAAAGAGTGGGGAAGATGGTGGCCCCAAAAACCGATTATGATCGGATGGTTTATTTGCATAATTTTAATTTTCTAAACATGTTTAAGTAAGTGATTATTATTATTATTATTATTTTGTTTACAGTAGAAATGACAAGATGCAGGAAAGAACACGGCCGAAGCCTTGAAGCCTACTGAGGATAAGTTAGTTAACTTCATTATCTTTTTGTTTGTTTAAATATAAAATGTAATTTTTTAGATTTTTTTGGTGAGAATTTGCTAATTGTAGTGATTGTCCTAGCTAATGTGGTGATTGCTATATCAATGAGTTTAGTGATACTAGTCGGAAGTTTATATATGGATGGTTGATACAGTGGGTACATGGATATTATAGTGATGGATTATGTGTATCTCTATTTTTTCCAGAAAGGTTGGGAAATGGAAGGCATCTGCCAATAGAAACAGCATATGGAAAGCCAAGAAGGAGAGAAAGGCTAAAAAAGATGCTAATAGACCAAAGAGGCCACCTGGTACTTTCTTTGTGTTCCTGTATGTATATTGAAGTGTGGCTCGTAAATAGAAATTACTTGAATGTTGTGTTTTCTTGTTTTGGTTAATTTTAATGTTACGTTTGGGTAACAGTGAGGAGTTTAGAGCTACTTTCAAGAGGGAACATCCCAATGTGAAGGCCATATTAGTTGTAAGTAATTAGCAATCTTTGATAATGCTTTTGAATCAATGTTTTTTGAATGACTTTGGTGTTGTTTCTTTGAACTTCTTTGCTTGAAGGTTGGAAAAGCTACTGGAGAGAAGTGGAAATCCATGTCTATGGATGTAAGTTTTGAAATCTTTATATAGATGGCAACATGTTTTTTACAATAATAGGTCAGTTTGCATGCCAATGAATTTCTCCCTCACTTTCATTGGTTCATTGGTATATTATGTGTTAAACCTTTATCATCTACTTCGGTGACTTTGGAATTCTTTGTAGCATATTATTGTCTGAATATACGCATTTTCCTTTAAATATTTGCCATTTCGTTTCTGTTGCTAGTGCTATTATTGTCTGAATGTATGCATATGCATTTTCATTTTTGTTTTCCTTCTAAATATTTCCCATGCCATTTCTATTGTGGCATTAATTATCGTGTAAAGTAGATTAGTGATCAAAGTACATAAAAGTTTGCCCTTCATGTTATGTTTATGAAGTAAAAATCTGTTTATGAGGCCTAAGCTGCAAAATGGAAGGTTGACTATGAAAAACGAATGAATCTCTACAAAAGATGCGATATAGTTTTTTCATTTCAAGGCTTAAGCAATGCTTTGCTTGACTTACTACTTGACTTTTCTTATTGTCATAATTGGTAGGAAAGTGTTGCTAATGGTGAGGTGAATGATGAGGATGAAGCAAGTGCTGAAGTAAATTAATTTTTATGGTTGTGTTACTTCGATCATGTTTCTTGTGCTATAAGATAAATAATTTACAATGCACATGATTAGGACTTTACCGTTAATTATGGTCTAACTTTTTCAGTGAAAATTAATATGGCCTCATTATTATTTTTATTATTAGTTTATGTTTGTATGTGCAATACTAGTTTGTATTTCCCTTTCCATTCTATATTTATGATGTTTTATTTCAGGACGAAAGAAGAAGAAGACAAGGACACTATATCATGGATATTATAGTGATGGATTATGTGTATCTCTATTCTTTACAGAAAGATTGGGAAACGGAAGGCATCTGCTAATAGAAGCAACATACTAAAAGCCAAGAAGGAGAGAAAGGCTAAGAAAGATGCCAACAGACCAAAGATGCCTCTTGGTGCTTTCTTTGTGTTCCTGTATATATCTTGAACCATGGGTTATAAATAGAAATTACTTGAATGTTGTGCTTTCTTATTTTGCTTAATTTAATGTTATGTTTGTGTAACAGTGAGGAGTTTAGAGCTACTTTCAAGAGGGAACATCCCAATGTGAAGGCTGTATTAGCTGCAAGTAATTAGCAATCTTTGATAATGGTTTTGAATCAATGTTTTTTAAATGACTTTAGTGTTGTTTCTTTGAACTTCTTTGCTTGAAGGTTGGAAAAGCTATCAGAGAAGTGGAAATCCATATCTATGGATGTAAGTTTTGAAATCTTTATATATATGGCAATATTTTTTATAAGTCAGTTTGCATGGCAATAAATTTCTCCCTCGCTTTCATCGGTTCATCGGTATATTATATGTTGGACCTTTATCATCTGTTTCGGTGATTTTGGAATTCTTTGTGGCATATTATTGTCTGAATATATTATGCATTTTCCTTTAAATATTTGCCATTTCGTTTCTGTTAGTAGTGCTATTATTGTCTAAATATATGCATATGCACTTTCTTTTCATGTTCTTTTAAATATTTTCCATGCCATTTCTTTTGTGGCGCTAATTATCATGTAAAGTAGATTAGTGATCAAAGTACATAAAAGTTACCCTTTAATGTTATGTTTATGAAGGAAAAAGTTGTTTATTGAGACCAAAGTTGCAAAACGGAAAGCTGACTATGAAAAGCGAATGAATCTCTACAACAAGAAACAGGTGAACAAGCATTGCTTTGCTTTACTACTTGACTTACTTGACTGAATCAAATATCAATTGTAATAACAATGAAGTTGGCTAACAAAATCCTCACAAGTTATAAACAAAAGGCAAATATGATGAGTCTCAAACAATATTTTAGTGTTCTTTTTTTTTATTCTTGAATAAGAAAACAATTTTCTTTGGATCTGCAGAGAAGCAAACCTTAATGATGTTAGCCCATAACCATTAACATTTGTTATTACAAGACAAGGCTACTTAGAGAAAATCAAAATTTCATAGGCTTTGTTTAATGCAAGATTTAGAAGTATATTATCTATAATTATTATAGTATAATTAATTAATTATAATTTAATATTATAAAATTTGTCAAAAACTTTTATAAAATCTGTATTTATTTTTATATAATTTTGAATTATAAATAATTAATTATAATATTATAATAAAAAATAATAAATAAAATACTCCTTGAAAATCCGAAGACGAGATAAAGATGACAATCAAACGTGATTGGCGCGATAAAAATCACTTTCCATTCATTGTCATCGGGCGATAAAATCTCTTTTCATTAATCATTTGAAAAGCATCAATCAACTAAAAAATAGATGAATATATATATATATATATATATATATTCTAATCCTCACTTTCCCTATTTTGTCCTATTAGGACCTACATTTCATTTCCATTGCTTGATTTCAAAGCATATGAATTTGAAAATTTGGCCTTGAAATTCAACCTTATAATTTAGAGTAAAACAACCATTTTTAACTAGGAGCTAGTCGTTTGGGGAACCAGCTTCATCTTAGAAATTTGGCAATGTAAGACTTTATTTAAATACATAATGAGATTAGTTACAATAAAATAAAAAAAAATAATAAACATTATTATAATCATAATTTTAAAAAATTATTACAATTACAATTAAATTTTTTTTAATAAAAAATTTATATTAATTTTATCTCACTAAAATTAATATTTTAATTTAAATAATAATACAATAAATTTAACCACTCCATATAAAAAATACGATAGGATACAAACGGATGTTAAGTCAACTAAAGCTATCGCAGAAGCCGATTATTTTGACTTATTTCTCATTTCATGGGATGCTGCCTTGAACTAGGGTTAACCGAGGCTTGTCAGAGGTTCAACCATAAATGTACTTTTTCTATGCAAAAAAACAAAAAACTTTTAATCAGACTCTTAGATGGATCGTTAATCATTTGATTATACTGAATTATGAAATAATAAGTACTTTGCATTTTTCCTATCGTTTTTTATTTTCATGCATGCAATGGGCAGATGTAAAAGATATGTTGAAAATGTTCTTGGATGCTTCAAAAATTAAAAAATAAAGAAATTCAAAGGAAAATCTTTTTCTTAACATTTAAAAAAAAATTTAACACCTTTAAAAATTAAAATTTTTTTTCCTAAAACACTCTGAATTTTTTTTTTTTGAATATCTTCCTTATCGATAAAATTATCAAATCCATCAACATTACTATATATATATATATATATATATTATAAATGAATACTTTCTAAAAATTTTTTGGGTCCGTCGTTACATATATATTAAAAAAGAAGTTTTAGTTTTTATGTATGTAATATTATAAAATTATTTTTTTAAAAGTATTGATGTACCATATTTTTTATTATTATAAATAAAAAATTGAAAAATAAATTTTAAATTTAGAAAAAAGCAAAACTAGAAAGTGTTTAAAAATTTTACGAAAGTCATTTTAGGACATTAAAAAAAGATGGACACTTAAAATAAGACAAAGGTAGTATTTCTTTAGTTGTGTTGTAATTTAAATATGCTAAAGGTAGGATTCTATTGATTTGGTAGTTGTACCAAAAAATTTGATCTTATTGTTTTTTTGTGTTCTAACCAGTCTTTTAGCTCTCCCTCTCACTTAAACAGCAATGAGCTAAGCCGATGGGTAGCTCTGTTTCACTCTATTCTAGCAAAGGAAAATAGTATACACCAGGGCAAGGAAAAAAATTGAAAAATAAAAAAATTAATTTAAAATTATAATATTTAATTTAGTTTGGATTGATTTTTTTTATTCGGTTTAAATTAAATTTAAATATTATATATATTAAATTTGGATCAAATTTTGAATAGAAAAGTGAAAAATTAAATAAAAAAATGAATCAACCGAATTATATATATTTTAATATATATTTTAAATTTTTATAAAATAAAATTAATAATTTTATATTAAAATTTACTTAAATATATTAAAATTTTATATTTAAAATAATATATAAAAATAAAAAAAATAAAAAATTAATAAATCGAATCAATAAAATTCGATTTAGTTCAATTTAAATTGAATGAAGGTTCGGATTCAAATTGAATGAAGGTTCGGATTCAAATCGAATTTTAAATTTTTATAATATTATATAATATTAAAAAAAATCAAATTTATTCTAATTCAATTCGAATCGTTATTACTCTTAACATACATGAATTCTATTAATTTCCACAATTACAAACAAATTAATGATAAATGCCAATGAAAACTTTTTTTTTTTTATCATAGAGCATGATTAAGTTTGGACAAAATTTCAAGAATGTTCCTTATCGTATTATCAAAAGATAATAGAATATGATTCAAATCATTGATCTCTAATAAAATTTTGCTCGTATTCATCGCTTGAATCAAGTACAAACAAAATGAAGTACAAGAAGTGTAATAACAAAAGTCAAATAACATTTGATAAAATTATATTAGTTAGAGATGCAAAATTGCATATTAAGCGAAATCTCAATTTTAGACATGAGTGATTATAAAATCTTTTATTTCAAATCTGATTGGTAAATTTGGTGTGATTTCATTATCACTTTTTTTTTTTTTTGATATTTAAGTTTCGAATTCAAAATTTGAATCAAACGTATCAAAATAATCAAAGGAAAAACTGGGAAAAAGTTCAAGACAGTTGGACCGTTGCATTTGGAATGATAACATGAACAAAGTCAGACTAATCAAAAAAGAAGGGGACCCCATGTCATTGATAATTTTGCCAATGCCATAATTGCTACTCTAAAGATGATAAATGCAAAACTTGTCTCTAGGCACGAAATTTTAATTGAAGATTGGTTTGCACTGTTCATTTTCAACACCTGATGTCATTTTGCATTGACTTTATCTTAATGGTACTTTTCTTAAATTCTGTTGGGTTTGGTGACAACTTCTGCATGTATGGATTGAAAATTAAGGAAGAGAAAAGGTAACGGAAGGGGGAGAAAAGGAGAGAATAAATAGGATTGCTTAGAAACAAAGAGAAATGAGAAGCAATGAAATGATATATTATGTGTGTTTATTTTATTAAATTTGAAGTTTAATTTAATTAATTTATATAATATTTTTTAAAAATAACATATAATAATTTTAAAATTTAAATTTTAATACCTAATGATTCATAATAAAATGATATATTTTGTCAAGTTACATTTTTTTAAGTCTTTCCTTTTCTATTTAATTAGTTGAAACTTTTAACATAAAAATATTGAAATAAGTAAAAAAATTGGATGGAAACGAAGTATTTATCAATTATTGCATGATTTTATTAATAAAATATTAAATTTTAATTTTAATGATCAAAATTAAATCTTTAATTGCCTCAAACACAAAAAAAGAAAGTGGATTATCATGATTAATTTGCCTGATATTGATTATGTGGATTTGAACAATGGAAGGAGATTTGGCTTTGTTGAAATTAGGGGAAAATGAGAAAGAATTTGGCGACCCTTAGGCATGAAATTTGGTATGACGCATGGCTCTAAACCATTGCACGTGAACCATATTGTTCTCTTGTCACGAAATTGTAAATGTGAGGTTGAGATGTAGTTACTTTGGGGTTCTAATTTTGGGACTCTTGATTGGTTAATATGAATTGGGTTAACTTCTGTTGTATTATAATTTCCAAACCTTCAATAAAAAAAACCCAATTCACTTTAAAAGTTTTTTTTTTTCTTTTCACATAATTTTGGGCACAATGTTTTCAACCCAAAATTTATAAGAATCATGTTTCATATACAGTTTAAATCACAATAATTATAATTTTTATTTTTAAATTACGATGTTTTTTTTTTAAATTATGTATCATATAATAAATCTTAATTTTTGTCTTAAAGAGTAATCACCTTGTACATTTTGGGTTTTCTCTAACAAAAACTATAGCCAAAAGAAAATTATGAACAACTATTATACCTCACCTCTAGTTGCCACAAATTTGCAATTGATAAAGAAAAAATTGGTTATAAATTATAGGTAAACCCCAATGCCATCCTTTCAAAAGCAGTACAAAATTGGGCAAATGATTGATCATTGGTGCATGCCAGTGAATCATTGGGTCCCAACAGCCTACACCAGCTTATATTTCCGGGAAATAATTAAAAATTTTGAACTTCAATGATTATTAATAAAAAAACACTAAAAATAACTTCTGCGAAACCCCAAGAGCCAAATACCTTGAAATGATCTTTTATTATCAATTAATCACATCAAATACCAAAATTACCATAAAAATTTGAACTCAAACCACAGAACATGATTTAATATAGGGTTAAAATAGTCTTTACAAAGTACGCCCAAAAAAAAAAGGGTCGTTAAGGCAAGGGACCCTCCAAAGACTGGCCACAAAAACATGTTGGCGACAGCTGTATGGCACCTAAAGATTAAAGCCACCCTGTCCCAACAAACGGGCAGCCCCAAAAAGGAGAAGCATGTGGACCAACAGTCACCTCGGGCAGCCAGCCTTAACGCCTATATTTTCTCTTGCCCCATCATCTATATAAAATCCAAATTTATGCCACCCCACTTTGCTTCGTGTCCCAATTTGCTTTGCGAACATTTTCCATCCACTCATTGCAACAAAATTTCCCTAGGAAAATTCTACCAACACTTCATCAACAATCAATGGAGGCATTGAGGATGAGGATATTTTTCGCTATGGTGATAGTGTTGATGGCCGTGTTTGCGGTCCAAAATGTGGCGGCAGCTGATGCCCCAGCCCCTAGCCCAACTTCAGATGCCACCGCCTTCGTGCCACCGGTGTTTGCTTCCCTTGTTGCTCTTGCATTTGGCCTTCTTTTCTAAAATGGTGGTGTTGAATGAGTTACAATATATATGTTTTTTCTGACTGGGGCTTACGTAGAGTCTCTCGTTTCAAGTTATCTTCTTTGATTCTTTCTCCAAAGGGCATGCAACTCTTGCTAGTGCATTATAGAGATGAGAAAGAGAGAAAAGCTTGAAGGATTTTTTTTTTCTTTCTACATGTTCATACTTTTCTTATTGTTTTCATTTTAATGTATAATTGATGTGCTTTGTTTGTTGGTGACCTAATGAATTATTTGTTTTGTTATTGTTTCTATTTTTTCTCCTTGAATTCTTTTTTTTTGGGAGGATTAATTTGTTTTTCTATCACACTTGTTAGGATCGATTTTCAAATTGAGGATTGAATTTTTGAAATTAGGGTGAAAGAGAGCAATTAAAAGTAAAAATAAAAAATATTTTTTGCATTTGTGCTTCAATATTTAAATTAGAAATCTATTATAAGAGATAAAAAGAGAGAAATAAATGAGTAAAGTAAAAAAAATCATATGAATGGATAATATTTGAATGATTTTGTTTATAAAAAAATATATATATCAAAAATTAAAATTATCTTTAACTGTTTACCGACGGCCTCTAAAAAAAAGCAATTTTCCTTAATGAATCATTTGCTTGCTCATCCTTTGGCAATTTGCTCTTGTAAATGGGTGTTAATCTTCAAAACTTACTCTTAAGATTAAAAAAAAAAAAACACAAATTGAAGTGAGGAAATGGACGGCCAAGCTGGTCTTGTTATTGCAATTGGAACTTGAATTTATGAATTGAAAGGGGAAATTTGAATGGCATTCTTTAATTAGGTAAGGATGATTGCAAATAGAAACAACTATGGAAAATCAATCATAGCAACAAATATGTGAACCGTGGAAACTCTGACTCTCACATGATGATTAGCTTTCAATTTGGCATCTAAATTCACAACACCGATGGTACGATTGAAAAGTAAACATTATCATCGTCCATAGAACATAGGTCTTTTTTTAGATATTTCGGTATTTAATAATTATTTTAAAATTTTATTAATTTAAAATTAAATTGAATCAAATTTTATAAAGAGAATAAATTCTCTTAATATTTATTTTTTTTATTTATAAAATTCGAAATAAAAACATTACTTAAAAAAAATTGAATTCTTTAACTAATTGGATCAATAGGCGTTAACGTCCATAGAACATAGTTACTATGTTCATTTAGTTCTCATTAAAATCTATATTTTAAAATCAAATTAAAATTTTTTTTATAACAAAAATTATGTATAGCATCATATTAAAATCGCTTATAAAAAAGATTAAAGCTGTAGCAAAATTTAGTTATATCTAAAGTATAGGTACATCCCATCCGAAACCAAAGCCCTAATGTTAGACTTATCCATGAATCGGACTAGCTGCTAGACCTGATAAATTTGATTATTGGATAATATTTTTCAAGCCTTGACTCGATCAAAGACATTGTTTAATTAATAAAAAATAATTCTTTTTTAATATAAATTTAAACAGTCTCAATTTAACAAGAAGAAATAAAAAAAAAAAAAAGAATGAAAAGGGTATCTGTGTACTATTCTAAACCATCACTATAATAACCTCAACCAGAAAACCCTAATCGATCTCTCCGTATAAAATCTTGGGTTTTTTTTTTAATCGCTATTGTTTTCCAATTAATTCTCTTCTTGGTTTATTTATTTGCCTCTTTGAGTAGCCATGTGAATGAAATCAAAGTTCGCATTTGGTTTAGTTAGGAGCAAAATCAATTCGAAAACCAGAGCTATCGTTCTGATATTTTTGGCCACTTCAACTCAGGCCTTTTGAGGGGACTCTTTGGCTTTTATTTCTTCGTCAATTGTCCTCCCAAGCAGCCTTGGGACATATATTTTTTTCCAATTCTAATTTTAAAAATATTAAAGAAAATCCATTGTTTTGGAGATGAAGATCTTTCAAAAACTACCAAATACTACAGGTCCCTGCACCAGCAGCCTACGAGTATGTTCAGGAACAAAAACAAAGTACTGTTGTTCCTTTACAACATATGTTTGACGTACCACCAAAAAGAATTATTTACTGAATCTAAAGTTTAATTCACTTATTTCATGTGAATATCTTTAAATCACATTCAGTACATATAATTCAAATTTTTAGTATTTTATTTTTTATTTTGTAAAAAAATTTAAAGATGATTCATATAAAATTTATAACTGAAATTTTCAAGCTTTTTTTTTTTTTTTTGGGTTATATAATATTTTTTTATTTTTTTTGGAAGTTGACTCGCATATAAAGAGGTATAGGAAACCGGAAAAGCCTTCAGTTAAACCGAAGGTGTAATTTGGTGGAAGACAATTTGGTTCAAACAGAGGCTGAAAATGAGAGAGAGTTTAAACTCCTGAGCCTAGCTCAAAACCAAAGCCAAAGCCATAGTTTGCTTTGAGCAATGATAATTATTAACTTGCCTCAATAATCTAAAAATAATTTAATTAGAATTTTTTCTTGTTCCCAATTTTTTTTTTTAAGAATTATTCCCATTAAATTAAATGGACTTAAAAATAGTAAATTTATAAAAGAGTAAGTGCATTAATTTGATTTAGACATAATGATTCATATATTTATATCATATAAAATATTAAAATTTATGTATTTTTATCATATTTTATATTAAAATTATATGTCATAATTTATATTATACAAATATATAAAATATAAAATTTTATTTTATTAAATTCATATATAATTATTATTATAATTTTAAATTATATTATATTTATATTTTATTTTTATATCATATTTATATTTTATTTTAAATTATAAATCTAATTTAATTGCTTAGAAAAGAAATAATGCATTTATTCGTTAATGGGCTCACTTGCAAATTTGGCAACCACCGGGATATGAGGAGAAAAGGACAACAGCCCAATATCAGATGGTCCAGCACTCCAGCTGTGGACATATCAAATTCTCAATTCTCGCAAGCAATTGAGCTGTAAATGCATTTGTAGCAATCTCCGATGTGACAATTCTTGTATTTATATTATATTAAAAATATATATAAAATATATAAAATTATTATATTAAATTTATTGTAATACATCAAATAAAAATATATATTTTTATATTTGATTAATTTATATATAATATATATTATAATTTTAAATAATATTATTTTTATATTATTTTTATTATTTTCACGTCGCGTTTAAAACAAGGGGGTTATTGATAACAAAACCAAATGCAATAAATTCACGGGAAAACCTCATAAAATCAAGATTCCGATCAATGACAAAACAACTTTTGCATATTCTGAATTTTTTTTATTTTTTTTGGAACTATTAACTGTTTCTATAAAGGTTTGCCTGCGATGGCAACCCAATCACCCAACTTGCATTATATGCAGGTTTTTCTGGGAAATCATACACGGTATCTAACACATCCTTCCGAGAAGGCAATCACATCAGTAATTTCTAGTGAACCCCAAATCACCAATTTTTCCTTTTTCCTTTTTTGATAATTATGCACAAAATACAGCATTCAAATTGTAAGCAATGTTGGACTCATCTTTTTCTGAGGTGGGACATGACTCAATAAATCTTATTTGTTTGGATGGTTTGGCTGTTCAATCAGTCATTTTCTTTTCCTTTCATTGCCTGTTAAACTATTTTCATGGGATTGTAATGGAAAAAAAATTCTTATACGACAGCTTATTGGGTGGGCTTGAGTTGGATCCATTTTGGCCTCCACATGATGATTAAAATTACCACCTAAAGAAGATATTTTAATAGGGAAAATATGTCTTGTTCTGAATTGAAATCAAGAAAAGATGGATTATGGATTAAGTTATTCAACCCTTGAAGATAAGTGTTCTTCAAGAATAAAGCCAATGTAACCAGAATTTGAAAGAAGATTAAAAAGCCTGTCCATGTGCTTCACAGATTGACTATTAGTTGAAGTTGATAATTCATATATTTTTATTATATTTATTTTATATCAAATATATATAAATATATAAATTATTATATTATAATTTTTATTTACATAATAAATATTAAATATATTTTTAATTTTTATTAAAATTTTAAAATATATCACTTCCGTATTGTATAACTATTACATTTAAAATTGATAAGTGCTTATAAAGAACAAATAAAATAAAACATAAACTACCATCCATAAAATACTGCTTGAATAACTTTTTAATTGTCAGAAAATTTTTACTAAGCAAAAAAAATTAAAAAAAAAAAACCAAAAACCATTACAAGCAATTCTTGACCTTTGAATGCCTATTTTGGTATTCCGATTCTTGGTTTCTTTGATGAATTTGTTTCATTTCCCAGTCCCCAAAATCAATCATGACACTAGTTCTGTATAGTTATTTTTCTGTCTAAAGGAGGTTCAGTCATGGGACAAAAACTATTCAAGAGATGAAATCTAAATGGATAACAGCTTGCCAAGAATGATAATCTTGGTAAGATTTTATTGTCATGACAATTTCTGCCTTCAGTTTGATTCCTTTGATCATATACTTTAGCAAGTGGTGAATTTGTAGACATTTCACTAAGGTCACCTCCCACAGTTGAAACTATTAAGTGGCTAAATAGACACAAAAATATAGAAATTCAGGAGTACCAAACAGGATTCAGAATCCATATAATAAGCATCCATATTATGTACAAAAACAGACACACTATATGAATCTTGTAGAACTGGCATGGCAAATCCATCACACTTCACAAACAATTGATCAAGCCGGTGAACGGTTCCGGATTCTCTAGAAGGCAGTGCTTTAAAGACCATCATAATGACCACCAAATGTTATGTGAGCTCTGGTGATTGGAACTCCTCTAGCTGCAGAAATTGCTTCATTGAGTTTGGTTGCATGATGAACCACTTGCTTCATCGTCTACAATCACAATAATTAGGTTACTTAAGCTACAAGTATCACTTAAAAATGGGGCCAGAAACTTACGTCTCCATGCCCCCTCCCCTTCTAGTTCTTTTGCTGCACTGTAAATTGCAAGAATGCTTTTAAATTTGGACTCCAAATGATAAAATGTGTATATCCTTTTCAATTATTGTTTGCATTGTAGGTAGGAGTACTAGTGGAGACAAAATATATACTCTGATTTCACGTCAACATGTTTAATTTCAAAAGTATATTTATCAGATCTGTTAAAACTGAAAATTTACCAAGATTCCCAGTACAAATCATTAATATGATCTCTCGTTATTTACTTGCTTGATCATGGCCCATTTTCTGAGTATCCATTGAACATATGGCCAGGATCACCAAAAAGAATCATGACACAAACTAAAAATGGATAGAATTATGCATAAACATAGGTAAGCAAAACAAATTAGATACTAAATTTTTCAAGAATTCTAAGATTTTTCATACCTTGTCATCAGTGTAACGCTGGAAAAGCAGCTTCTGGTTCTGATGTTGCTGTTTGTGTCTTTGTTGACTTCCCAATACGATGATAAAAAGGTAGCAGCAGCAACACCAAAAGAACAGATGGCTCCAATACCAGTTAAGCTCCATTTCCATAAATTAAGGCCACCAGAGTTATCCTCCCAGGTGACATCTTCTTTGATCTCAAATTTCTTTTCCACCAAATCTTTCTTTCTTGGGGAAGTCATGTTCTCCAAAACCTCACCTTTTTCATCAAAATTAAACGTACCTGCTGCATCAATTTGAGGAATAATTCCCCTAGTAGTGGACTTTGGTGAGTCCATTTTGTTGGTCATGTCGACAGATTCATTGTAAGTTGGTTTCCTAAAGCAAACTTGTGTCTTCACTTCTTTACCACCTTCAAATGATCCAATATCAAGTTCTTCGATCTTCTCAGGGATCATGGCTGGCGTAGAAGTGACATCAATAGGCACCCTTGTGGTAGTTTCCTCCCCCAGCTCATTTTCTGGAGCCTTAAAGATTCTTTGTTCCAATGGAAATGAAACTGGAACAACCTGTTTAGGGACCCTCCTTGAATTTCCTGATGGTGGAGGCTGTTCCTTGTTGAAGTAATCTGTCAGGAAAACAAGTTTTGTGTCAGAATTTCTTTTTCCTCCATGAACTTTTTTTTCACCATCCTGATTGATATCCAGGAAATTATTATCAGGCAGGAAAACCCACTCATGATCAATATCCATTTCCTGGTGAATCATCTTAGGAATTGGAAATCTGATCAAATGGGAAACTGATATAGCAACTGGGGTAAAGGGTACGGGGGGTTTGAATTATTGGATCAAAATAAGATGGCTTTACATGGAGTTTTCTACGTCATTTTCACTTGTAAGAACAAAGGCCAACTCCAAAAATGTTGTCCTCTTGCTCTTTGGAGTGAAAGATTGAACCTATCAGCAAGAAAAACATGACAGTTTCGAGTGCTTATCCTCCAAAGACGATAACAAATGGATGGTGGTCCAAGGGACCCACCTAGAGAATGCCTTCACTCAAGGAGTTCCTGGATATTTCTTTTCAATTCTATAATGTTTTTTTTTTTTACATGGCTAAAGTTTGATAACAATTCCAACACTTTGGTTAAAAACAAGCCAACAGTCCAATTCTACCTCTTCAAAATCACCATAGATGTTCTTCTTTTGGCTTCTTTATCAAATTTATGGATAAAAATGCAGACACGGTGTTCATTTTTTTTTACAAATAGAGATTCTTCTCACTCTTATGAAGAGAAATAAAAGAAAGAGTTTCGGTTGCTTGTATGAGTTGGTCTGGAATGACAATGACTTGTAGGTTTTTGAGGAAGAAAAAAAAAAAAAAGCAAGGAAAAGATGAAAGTGAAAGCCCCATACAACTGTCCATACACTGGTATCTTCCATTATTAATTGTTTTTCTTTTTTCCCATGCTGACAAAAGCAAGATAAAAATTTCTTATCGCCTAAAGCTTCTAGATTTACCTCATAACCTTTATTGTCTAGGCATATTTTCACGATCACTCTTCCTCGTAATTCATAAAAGGATGATTAAAATATATTGTCCTATAGACAGCCACACTCTAAAAAAATAAAAAGTCTTAAATGGATCTTAAGACTTTTACTTTCAAACGAGATATAAATAAGAAATTAATTTGATAATCATTAGTAATAAGTTGAATGATCATCGTTGAAAATGAAGATGGTTGTTTTAACAAATTTTTAGACCAAAAATTTCCCTATAAATAATATATTTTCATTGTAAAAAAAAAGGTGAAATTTACAAAAAAAAAAAAAGGTGTGGTAAAGGTCAAATAATTTGTCATGAAATTCAAAAACTGACATTTCAAGATATTATTATTTTATCCGAACATCCTTTAAAATCCAACTTCAGTTACACTCTTTGCATTTGCAGCAATGTTAAGGTTGCATGAAATACTAAAATGCAACAACCAAACTAGAATTCAGACAATTTTAGGTTGATGACAACCGAACACTTGCTTGCTTCTTCAACATGCATTTGCTGTGTCGGTGTATGCACAAGGGATGTGCTTATCTTTCAAGAAATCATAAGAAGGAATTTTTTTTTTTTCTATTCTGTTTGCGAAGTCATTTTCCATGGAAACCGAACACGTTGCAGCAAAAGGCTTCCTATATTGCATTTGGAGAATTTGTTGTGAATTAAGCAGGAGCTGTATTTGATTATGAAGAATAGCAGAATCCGAAGCCTTTATTTTGTTAACTTAAGGCTTCTTATCTGGGGTTTTCCACAAGGAGGGAATCGGGGATTCACTTGGGAAGCAAACAATGGCAAAAGTGAAGCGTGGTTCAGGAATCAAATAATAAAGAAGGGAATTTGACCGATGTTTGTTGATCCACGTGATTAAAGAGTTTAATTTTAAATTTTATAAATAAAAAAATGACGAAAAAATTTATTTTTTTTATAAATTTAATTCGATTCATCAAACCGCATATGGTCTTAAAATAAAGGAATTTGTATTTGAAATGTTTAAGCTTGCATTGCCGATCAAAGGCCAAAGGGCAGTCTGACTGACGAAATTAGGAAAAAAGCCAAAAGTCAAAAGCAGCATGGATGCGACATTTAATCATGAATGGTGACGACATAACAGTGCTAAAATTTTTTTTTCCTGGGTTTATAATTCCATGTAGAAGCAATTACTCATTGGCATATCTTTTTAATTTTCGTAATTGACCTAATCTTGTTGATCCCTTCCACGGTTACATTTCATCCTCTTTTGATTTCTTCATGGATTACATGTCATCCTCCCTTTGCTTTTTTCGTGGGTTATTATATGATTTAGCCCTTTAATTATATCATATTCATGATTTGACATTTATAAAAAATTTTCGATGACATATAATTTCTGTGGGTAAGTTAATGAGATACAAAACCACTATAATATCGTGACAGATAATATATTATTACATTTTATAGATTAAAATTTATCACGTCAACATTTTAACTAATGATGTTAGTTAATAATGAAAAATGATTGATAAAAATAAAATTTGAATCCCTAATTTTTTTCTATAAATATGTTAAAAATCGTATAATTTGAGGATAAAAAAATCGTATAATTTGAGGCTAAATTACATATTAATCCTTTCTTCCTTTATGCTTACTAGCAATTCCACCAGATTTCTCCGAGCTCATTTTCTACCTTTTTTTTCTTTTCTTTTCCTCTATTGACACGTGGTAACGTTATATTTGCTGTTTTAATTTGACCCTTTTATTAAAAGTATAATCAATCAAATTCAAATTTAATTAAATATTTTTAACTTAAACTCAACTCAAAATAAAAATTAAATTACTTAAATTCACTCGATTAAATTCAATTAACATATAAAAATAAATTTAATTTTTATATTCAACAAAAATTCAATTATTTATATTCAAATTCAAACTTAAATTCAAAATATTTTATTAATTAAAATATTAAAATTCGATTAAGCTCACAAACTACTCAAATTCGATATAAAAATACTTTAGTTCTGTTTGATTAATAAATTAAATTACTTGAATTTAAATTCGACTCAATAATAATCGAATCGAATTTGAATTTCATTTGAATAATTTACGAGTACTAATATATTATTTATACTTTTTCCTATATCACTCCATCTCAGTGAGTGCAAAGATTAACAGTTTTAAGGTGAATAAGGAGAGTAAAATGTTCTGAATGGGAAAATATCCATATCTACAACAATTAGGAGAGATTCAGAGAAAGAAAAAAAAAGTTACCCTTACATTCCACTAATGTGCTAAGTAAAGATGTTCCTCCAAATAATAAAGCTGTTCCCAGATTTACATGCTAGTTGGTTTGCTCCTCCCCCCAAAAAAACCCAACTCAAACAAGCTCAACGGCTTTAGGTATCAACACTATCAATATAATTTAATATTTTAACATGAGAGTGAAGTTTGTAATACACTACCTGATCGACAGCTTCCATAAAACTCTAACCTAGGATGAGGATGAGGATCTACCAGAAGCAGATTCTCCCAAAGAGACAGAAGCCAGTGAAGTAGCCCAAACACGGGCACTCTTTGCACCTTGATGAAAATTCCTGTTCTTGCATAGCCTCAGTTTGGTCCAAACTCTCCTCACATCAACCATGTGAAGGGCTCGTCCAAACAATTGACTTCTCTCACCAAATATTGCCAAGTTCAAGTGTGGTGCATATGAAACCCTGAAAGCCTTGAGACAAGATAGTAATTCAGCGAATATGGATAGAAGTACTCTTAAACAGAGAAACAACACAGCAAATGCCAAGTAGGGCTCCCGTTTGACTATCTCCATTGAGGATGATTCATTCCACAACTGTATCATATATTTATTGTGGTCTCCTGATATAACCGGTTCGTTTTCGGTAACATATTGAACTGGTTCATATCCTGAAATGCAGACACTCATGTTAAGAAACATGTATTTATGATTTGACTCACAAACTAGGCTTAGTTATTCCCTTAAAAAGGCAAAAGCAGTAGATCATGTATCTTTGGCATGGGAGAGCAAATACCTGTTGCTTTCTGATAAAATTGTACAATTGAGGGGAGATCTTTTGGACCATGATATCGTACCCTTGACGTCTGGTTGACAATTAAAATTGACGGCAAGCTATGAATTCCGTACCTTGAAAATATACTGTGATACAAACATATATCAAAGGTATTAGTTATGATATTTGTCATTAGGTATCAAGGGGCAGCAAAAGAACAGTTATTTGATTGATAATTCTCTATCATGTAATAATAACAATGAAGCAATGTCACCTGAAAGGAGATTCTTCATAAAAGGAGAACTGATTCTGGCATCAGTTATGGAATCATGATTAAGGAGCAAAAGAGAAGGCATCACACAGCAGAATTGTAATATTCAGTTTTTTCCTTGAGTAGCAGACATAAGCATCTAATGTTACATCATGGTTGGGATAAAACAACAGCAAAAATATATAATTGATAGGGGTCTACTTCGAAAGGCGTAACAACTTTGTAAAATTGAAATGTGGACGTAAATGTTTGTTTCCACAAGTAACAGTTATACCAAATGACATTAGCAGACAAATTAATTAAATTGAATATGTGCACACACACACACACAATTTTTTCTTAAGTATGCTTTCAAGTACATTTGATCACCATACACCATACTAATGCCACTAAAATTGACTAGAACATAAGGATGCAATCATAACAAATACCTAATAATTGCATGTTTAAAGTCAAGTTAAACACTATAAGCAGGTCAAATCTAACAGTTAAAATTCTCTCCTTGTAGCCTTTATCCATGAATATGCCCTCATTAAGGTTTGGCAGCCATTGTAATCAAGAACATACAAATAACACAAGAAAAAGCCATTCAATACTTCGTGCACAAACACTAAGCAGTAGAAGTAGCTACACACCTTGGTGAAGCTGAAGACTCTTCAACTGCCAGATGCTCTAATTGGGGAAACATGGAACTGAGAATGTCAAATTTTGGGCTCATACTGAGTGAAAATGGGCACCAGGAAGCATATAAGAGCACAGAAGTGTAACCAATTCTCTGTTTGGAAGTCAATGCTCTGTCCAGGAAGTTTCCATCCACCTGCAAACCAAATGAGAAATAAAATATTATCAGAATGTTTGTCTTTAAGAAACAGCAAATCATGCAAAATATTAATCCTAGAAACATATCTTACAGTCAGATGGCACAATGATCTAAGCTAATTTACAGGATATATGGCAAATCTACAAACCATAAATGTGTTGATTAGAGGATCCCCAGCAATGAAATTGCATATGCTAAAGATAATGGTATCATTTAACAAAATTATATAGAACTCTGCAGAAAAAAAAAAAAAAAAGGAAAAAGTAAACATTGCCCTTGAAGGTAGAGAGGAAAAAGGTAGGGAATGAAGAAGGAGTTGTATCCTATCCCTGATTTGAGTCATAAAAGGATAAAAAATTTACATTCCTAGTAATCAAGCCATATAGATTCTTTTCCAGCCACATTCTAATCAACATAATGCTGCCACCATATAACCTGGCAATTTATATTTCCTTGTCGAATTTGACACGTGTAATGACACAAATTATTAAAACACAAATACGATACGAATTATAAAACGTGTTTAAATCCTAAACACGAACATAACATGTTTAATATACGTGTTATATGCGACATAACACGATTAACATGCATATAATTAAGTAGGTTAAACATGACACAAATAAATACGAATAATATGGATATATACAAATAGACACGCCTAATATAGATATACACGAATAGACATGACTAAAACGAATATATACAAAAACACGACTAAAATAATAAATAAATATAAAATACCTATCATTTACAACTTAATAAATTTGGTGTATTAACAATATAAAAAAACACTTACATATTAAAAAAAAATTAATACTCATTTAATATGTATTTAAATTTATATTACATAACTATATTAAATTTTAGTATCGAATTCAAAATGATAAACTATTAAAGATTAAAAAATAAAATAATAATGTATAGGACTAATATTAATAATGATATTGTATTTATATAATTAATATAAAAAATAAATTTATAATAATTATTAAATGAGTATCATAATTTAACGTTTAAAATAATTTTTATATGAAATTAAATAACTAATTAAGTATCATGATTAAAAGATTAAAAATTAAAATTATCTTTATATATTTATATTAAATTAAAATAAATATAAATAATATGTCAAATGTGTTAAACATATTAAACTTGTACTCATATGATAAGATTAAATTAAACGTGTTTAAACTAGTTAACATATATACGATACGAATAAACATAAACATGTTTTTTTAAAACACATACGATTATTTTTTTGTCCTATCACCATGTTGTGTCTAAAATTGCTAAGTCTACCACCATAGAGCCACAAGTATGTTAGTTAACCGAACAATCCGGCTTATATTCAAGCTGAATTGCATAAGGCTTAAATCCTAGAACATGAGACTCAAGCTGCATCTCTATTACTTTCACATAGTCCTCGTAGCCATAAATACTAAGTGCTCTTATCTCGATTCAAAAGCTTCTGGAAGCAAATAAATACTCAAAGCCCTTAACCAAGACCAATAATATAGGATGAATGACTAATAAATTTTGCACCTTTATTTTGATTTTCTCTTATCAATTTTAATTTTGCAAAATAAAATATACCATAACAACCCAATACCCCGAAATAAAAAAAAAATAAACCATAAACCTTTATTCTTCAAAAATTTACAGCCATGAAAAAAATCCATGATAATAACCTAATATTTCAGGCAAAAAACGCAAAATTTTCTAAAAATTTCCCTTCTTTTAACAGAATTAGACAAAATCACAAACACCTAGAATCCGAAATCAAACAAAAAGCTAAAAAAATTAAAAAAAACTTAAATAGAAAAATAATTAAACCCCAAGAACCCATTTTTCCTAAACTAAAAAACAAATCAATCTAAAAATAAAAATAAAAATTCCACCAAAATTAAGCCAAAAAAGGTACCTTGAGAGGGGGAATTGGAGAGGTTGAAGGAGAGCATTGAAAGTGAAGATTTTTAAAGAATACATCCGCTTCATGAGAGCAAATAGAAGAACACAAAACGCAGCGTATTGAATGAATAGCTATGATATAGAAGAACAAAAGAAGAGAAGAAGAAGAACCCATTTTCAATTTGATTTATAAAACACAAAAAGAAGGAAAATTCAAAACAACAACAACAACAACAACAACAACAACAACAACAAGAAGAAGCAAAAGAAAATGAGCAAATTCAAACCCAGAAAAAATTTTAAAAAAATAATCTTGGGAGAAAGAGAGGGGAAGGTGGTGGGTGAGGGCTATTTTTTGGAATGGCTAACTAGTATCTGCCGGCTTGGTTGGCAGTTAATTTTATTTAAAAAAAAAAAAGAAAAAAAAGAGCTGTAAAAAATTGTGCTGCTTCTTGGGAAGTCTTTGGGGCTTTAGAATTCAAGATTTGAACAGTTGAATTTGAAGCGTATTTATCTTTGATGAATTTGATGACGCGATGGGCCGTGTGTGGTTGTAAAGCAGTTTTGATTAGGTAGACAGAAGGAAGAGAAATTATTTAAGTTTATAATTTTTATTGATTATTTTTATTGAAATTAATTAATTTTAAAATTTATTTTAATTGAATTGAAATTTTAAATATTTTGTATTTATTATAATAAAAGAATAAAAATTTATATAATGTTTGAATTCATGTTTGATTTTTTTTATCTTTTAACCTAAAAAAAAAAAAAGTGGGGCCAATCTTTCTTTAAGGCTTCAAGTTCAAGGTTGTTGCTGTTTTTTTTTTTTTTTTTTATTATAGAAAGATTTATATTTTGTTGTTATAGAATCAATAAAAGTATTATTTATTGGATTTAAATTCAAAACTAAATTTGTTTTAATTTTTTAATGGCACAAATCAATAAATTTTCATAGGATAACCCTATCAGGATAACGATGACAAACAGCCCTAGCGGTTTCTAGCCAACCGACTTTCCAAAGCACTGACGCAACACAAAAAATATCAACACTCAATCGCACCGTTTCGTCTTTTTCCTACCCTTTCCCCTATACTGATTGGATTGTCCAGAAAAGAAAACGAGTAAAAAAGAAGTTAAACAGCGTTAGGCTTCTTTCGAAAATTGGAAAAAAATCGAAAAATTGGAATTACGGAGAAAAAGGAAGCAGAGAGCAATAACAGTAAGCAAGATTTGAATAATAATAATAATAATAATAATAAAATAATAAATAATAGCAACGAAATTACGGATTCTGATATAATAATAATATATGAATAAAGACGCTGAAGAACGCCAAGCTCGTGAACTCAAAGCCGGTTTGCATCCACTCAAGGTATTTTTCTATTTTTTTGTGTTATTTATTTTATATGAATAAAGTTTTTCTTTATAGATCGTTTATAGATCGGTTTACAATTTTAATTTGTTTTGGAAATGGTTAGGTTAATGGTGGATTATAGCTCTTTTTCTTTGTTAAGAGAACTGATTATTTTACATTATAAAGATTTAATCTTTCATTATTCTTTAGATACTGAATTTTCGTTTCAATAAATTTATTTCATTTTGCTAAAAAGTTTTTTCTCGTTTTCAATTTCGTGTATACAATGGAAATGTTGATATTTTTCTTTCAAAACTGATAAATTTTGAATTGATTTACTCGATCTAGCCATTTGACTAAGCAGTGAAAGAATTTCTGCAATTGACAAGCTGTAGGTTTTTTTTTTTTAGTTCTGTTTGGTATGGAGAGGTAGTTTTGAATTGTTTAGTTGATTATTTGAATTTGTTTTATCATGCCAAAGATTCTGCTGTGTTTAAATTTTAGGTTAATCATATTAGTTGCAAAAGCGCATGTTTCACTGAGAAGTGGAAAATGAGTACCTACATCCTATCATGGGGATTCCTACACTCTTGACACTTAGAATCTCATATTGGATTAAGCAGTCCAAGTTCTGATTAAAATGTGAATAGACTCCAATAAAAAGGATGAAACCATACCTTAAAATGATTCTCTTTTGTTTTGTAGATAGCCTACTACCTTAGTGTAGTAATATATAACTACAATTAAATTTCTGCACGTTCTATAATTAATCGTAGTTAACTAAGGTTCAAAATGAATCAACTTCAATTAAAGGGAAAACAAAATTATCTCCACTATGCTACCATCTGATCTAGGTGGAGTTTTATATTCTAGCTCATGTTCCATTCCATGATCAAAATCAATCTGTGTTCTGCGTAACTTAGGTCTGCTATTTTTATGATGTTGATATATTTCTCATTTTTCTGATACACCATTGGATAGCTTGTTAAATACTAAATTCATTACCTAGCAGTCCCTTATTTTGTTCTCGCATTCCTTTGGACAGCACAAATATGTGTTCTGGTACACTCGTCGGACACCTGGAGTTCGAACCCAAACAGCCTATGAGGACAACATAAAGAAAATTGTGGATTTCAGTACAGTAAGTTCTATTTATAAGACCATAAAGCTAAATGCAATCGCTTGTAAATCCTGAATTTGGTATAAGTGTTTTTTTTTTTTTTTCTTTCCATTTGTTCAAATTCAATTTGCTGATCATGGTTGTAACTTCTAAGCATAATGTGTATATAGGTTGAAGGTTTTTGGGTCTGTTATTGTCATTTGGCCCGTCCTTCTACTTTGCCAAGTCCAACAGATTTGCATTTATTCAAAGAGGGAATCCGTCCACTATGGGAGGTAATTATTGAATACCTGACTTTGAAACTGCTTGTTCCAATAACAATAAAATTTTGTCATAAAGTTGTATAATTGAAGTGATGCTGTCAAATCTTGAACATTTTATATAATGTGATTCATTTTTGACGTCTTGAAATTTGTTATATCTCAGGATTCTGCAAACTGCAATGGTGGCAAGTGGATAATTCGGTTCAAAAAGGTTGTTTCTGGTCGCTTTTGGGAAGATCTGGTAAGAAAGAATAGTGCATAATTGCATATACTAAGTGCCTTTCTATATTCCAATTTGGTTTTGTTGTATGAAGAAGTTCACAAGTCTCTTTTAAATCAGCAACTGAGCTTTTCAATTATAATCTTAATGATGGAACTTCACCTTAATTGAATCATATACTTCATTCTGACCCGATCTATGGCTAAATGAAAAGTTTTATGGTTTATTTAACTTCTTTAGACCATTTCATGGAAGTATAGTGATACGGTAATATTGTTTAGGATGAAGGTGCAGAATGTCATTAGTCAGTCCTAGAAAATACTTTACTTCGAGTTTCATTAACAGTAGAACTCCCTGACTGCTGGGATTAAGCTATGAGAGATAGAAATCTTAAAATTATTGAGTTCAATATTTCTATCTCTCTGCTTCCTCCATGTGAGGTATTCTTCTCTGTTAAATCTACCAATGGTCGGGAGGTTTTCAAAAAAGATGAAGCAATGCTTTAGTAAGTATGTTCGTACAAATAGAGGTCATTATTTCTGTGCATAAAGTAGCTAGGTACATGTACATCTACTGATATACATTGGGGCCCACTATCAAAGGAAAATTTCGTCCCTAAGGTATTTAATGCCTGAAAATGCCAATTCCCAATGTTATACGATGATAATGGACATTTCTTTTCTTAGATGGGAAGAAGTTGGTCATATTTGTTTCACAACCTTTGGTTTGAAAACTAGTAGTCTCTTGTCATTCAAAGGTTCATGAATTGTAGTTCAAATTATCTCGCAGTGAAGCACATTTTTAATTTTTTCTGTCTACTTAAAAGTTTTAGGTTTTCCTGGTGGCTAATGACTCATAGACCTACAATCGATTACTGTCAAAGACATTGCTCCTTTAAAGGGCATCCCAAGTTTAAACTATAAAAATAAACTAATACATAGAGATAGATTTCTATTTGGCAAGTGCTTCTGTATGGAAGTACTGTAATACAGTAAAAATTTGTGGACCGCTCATTAATCTTTCCCTTTGTGGCCTGTGTGAAATGTGGTAGTTAATCTGTGATTGGTTGTCTGAAATAGTGCCTTGTGTTGGGCACCAGATGATGGACATTTAATATTAGTCATTTACTTTTGCATGTGCTTGCAGGTTCTTGCCTTGGTCGGCGATCAACTTGATTATGGCGATAACATTTGTGGTGCTGTACTGAGCATTCGCTTCAATGAGGATATATTGAGTGTATGGAATCGTAATGCATCGGATCACCAGGTTAGCAATTAACAATTACCAATTTTCCTATTGTGTTTCTCTGCCTTTCTCTCTGCATAATATCTTGATCATGTTTTGTTTATACCAGGCTGTTATGGCCTTAAGAGATTCAATTAAACGGCACTTAAAGCTTCCCCACAGCTATGTTATGGAATACAAGCACCATGATGCATCTTTGCGTGACAACTCATCATATCGAAACACATGGTTGAAAGGTAGTGGTATCTTATATGCTTAAATGAAAACAAGTGGATTGAGAACAGCTCAGAGATCAATCTGTTCAACAACTCTTCTTATCCTTCACTAATCCTGTATATGACATGAGAACCATGTTGAATATCATCATTGTGAGAATCCTTTAAATTGAATTGCAAGATGATGACATTTAGACTGGAGTCTATGTTGGTTTTATGGATGACATTCCTTCATCCCCGGGTTATCATACTATTCTGGCATATGTTTTAAGTAGTTGGTTCAAACTTGTCGAATGTTTGTAGAGAGTGCTTTGTTTTTCTTATAAATTCTAATTTAGGCATAGTGGTTTTATAAATGAGTCAATCAAGTTTAAATGTCCATGATGATGTGAGTAACAAGGATCATTTGGCAACATCATGGAATAAAGAATACTTGGAAAGATAGGTGTGCCGCCCAAATATATAGTTCCATATATACATCCTATCCGCTCCCCGTTCCGTGTGTTAAAGAATGTTAAAGTATCCCAGAAACCAACATTCAATAAGAAATAAATGTACCTAAATTTGTTCAGTTGAGGGTGTAATTGAGAAGGCCCTTTATTCATGTGAATGGTTCAAATTCTGTTTGATTTGACTCGATTCATTGTAGATTCAAATTTAATTTTATTTGCAAACCTCAATTCGAAGCTTCAATTTGATTTAAAAATTAAAATTTCAAGACTCATCTTGAGTTGATTGAAGCTTTTTTCGTTTAAGTTCAGCTCGATCAAAAGCTGCTTTCAAAATATTTTTTTCTCAGGTTGTAGGGTTTAATATTGTAGAATTCATATTGCTTCATGAGGGCGACACTGGGACTGTCTCTTCATCTCTATTAGCCCTGGTCCTCACGTTATTAAGGGTGGCTATTACAGTAGCACATTTCACATCAAGCTCGAAATTGCACACGACAAATGTAGACAAACCCATGAGAATGGAATCTACGTTCATCGCATGTAAACAACAGCTCAGCAAATAATCAGAGAAGAACTTTGCGGCAATGCTGGGGATGAAAAGGTGTAGCAACCTCATACGATCAATTATAGCATGTTTTGTGTAAAAATAATTTAAAATATTGATATAATAAAAAAATAATATAAAAAATGGAAGGTGATATGATATAAAATGTTAGTAAACATTATATATTAATTTAACAAAAATCAAAATTTTTTGTGTTGACATAATTATGATATGTAATTTTTAAATAAAATATAATATTAATACGTAAATTATTAAATTTATAAGATATGAATATATAAATTATGATATCTAATATCATTATTTAAGTAGTATTTTAACTTTTACAACCATAGGGTTGAGCCAGAAAGTTGTATAGTAGCAAGCCTTGCAGAGAAGATTTTCATGTCGGTTCGGCAACCTCATTAAAGCTCAAGATATGTGGATGATCAACATGATCAATCTTCGTCTCCAAGGAAGATGAAATAAATTGAGTAGCCTAGAAAGTATCAGCACATACAATTCTAGACTCGACTGCCACCATTCAGTTCTAGGAAAATTAATGTATGTGTGGAATAATTTTTTTTTCAATTTCTTACATTAACTTCAAAAAAATTAAATAAAACTTAAATAGAGGGGTCAAGACAATCCAATAATAATTGAATGGGAAAAACTTATATGAAGTTTCATAATAGAGTTCGTGAAGTTCCTTACTTAAAAATGAGTAAATAAAAATTAAAATTGAAAATCAAAATTGATAGATTAAAAAATCTCATCACATAAATTAAATATACAAAATTTAAATTTTTTAAATAATTTAGATATATATATATTAAGTAAATATTTTTAATAAAAATATTGACAGAATTTTTACCAATAAATAAGTATTGATCAAATTTGAATTATAAAAAATATTTTTAATAATTTTTTTTACATATTATTAATCTTCATAATGAATTCTATTATTCTATCTGTTTAGATTTTTTATCAAAATTTTTATTTACTTATTTTTAGTAAGGAACTTCATGAATTCTACCTATATAACTTCATATAAGTTTATCCTAATTGTATTGTCCTTGATATTGATATTAGTGCATTTAATTTTTTTTAATTTTTAAATTCTGATTTTTTTTATAAGAAATTAATATTAAATGATAATTTTTTTCTTTTTTTCCTCCACTTCCCCTCCCTCTTCTTTCTCTATCTTGCATCTCATTTTTTTAAATCTATTTTCCGATTTTTTCCCTTTAGGTTTTCCCTCTTTCTATGTTCTTCTTCTTTTTGTTTTTTTTTTCAATCTAAAAATGAAAAAAAATATGTAAGCAGATGATATTCCAAGCTATAGGCTTTTTTTGGAAGATATTGCATATCATTATAGATTAATTGCTGGCCTTCATCGTTGCATTACCCACTTTTTGGTACATCATTTATGCATATCTTTATTGTTAACAGTCGTAGACTAAAGTCTCAGTAAGATGAAAAGGAAAGCAATGCCTTTATTTTTATATGCAGCTATATAGAGGAATAAACTAGGAAACATTTTTCTTTCCAAAAGAAATCGTACTTGATATAGACAAAAAAATTGCATGAAATAAAGTTTAAATTTCAAACGTATTAAATGTCACCGTAATTACGTAAATCAATGAAACAAATTGCAGGTTAACTAGAACATGTTTTAACACATCTACTAAATCTCTTATAATTTATAGATTTTCCTATACATTTGGTTGCTATATATATGTGTGTATCAATATCAAGTCTCACTCATTTTAAACAAAGTAGTGGAGAGAGGAAGAGAAGGAAAAATGGGAAGTAATTGGGTATCTTCCTCTTTTTGAAACAAGGCCCCGGGGAGTAATAGTCTTGTTTCGATTGTATGTGACTTCAATCTTCACAGGCATCTGCTTCATTGGGTATTTATGGAGTGAGCTGTTTCCCAGTGGAAGGAAAAACTGAACGATGGGTTTGGGTTGGAATGTTTCTTGCTGAACTTTGGTTTAGTTTTTTTTTTTTATCACTGTAATCATTAGATGGAACCTGTCTTTCGTTACACATTCAAAACAGCTCTCTATCCAGGTCTCTCTTATTGATTTCCCTCTTTCATTTTTCCATTTTTTAATGGATTAACCGTTGAAGATATTAATGCAGGTATGATGAAGAAGCTTTGCCAGAAGTAGACATTTTTGTTTGCACGGCAGATCCTGGAATAGAGCCACCAGTAATGGTGATCAACACAGTTTTATCAGTTATGGCTTATGACTATCCACCTGAGAAGCTAAGCATTTATCTGTCTGATGATGGTAGCTGAGATTTAACATTTTATGCTTTGTTATCACTTTTAAAAGGTATCATTCAATAAATAT